GGAGTCGCCCCCTGGTGGACACTAGAGAGAATGCAGCTTTGACACATTAAGCTTTGACAGTGTCACAATGATCCTCTTGAACCATCTCCTCCCTCCTGCAGGTGGCGCTGCTGCGCTGGTTGTCCTCTCAGACTGACGAGGACCGGATGGTTCTGGCGGCGGTGACGGGCGTCCAAGTCGGCAGAGAGCTGCTGAACCGCTTCACCGGACAGGACCGAGTGGACGCTTACAAGGTGACTGGCTGCTTATTGTGTCGTTAATAAACTTTACTACATAAACTCTGTGCTTTATTTAAAGTGACTGTGAGGATCTCCTAACTGGTCCTGAACCAGTCTCAGTGTAGTCCTGATCCTCTGTATGAACCAGTCTCAGTGTAGTCCTGATCCTCTATATGAACCAGTCTCAGTGTAGTCCTGATCCTCTATATGAACCAGTATCAGTGTAGTCCTGATCCTCTATCACACCTCCATCAGTAAAGAGACCATCAGAGAGAAGATGGTCTGTTTCTATAGAGTTATTCTTGATGCTCGTCATCGGAGCCACCGGGTCGGATTCTGGTGAAACCAGATGAACTCATGCAGGTTCACCAGAACCTCCTTCAGCTCAGACTCCAGCAGAGACCGGCCCACCGTGGACAGACCCAGATCCTCCAGCAGAGACCGGTCCACCGTGGACAGACCCAGACCCTCCGGCAGAGACCGGTCCACCGTGGACAGATCCAGACCCTCCGGCAGAGACCGGTCCACCGTGGACAGAACCAGATCCTCCGGCAGAGACCGGTCCACCGTGGACAGACCCAGACCCTCCAGCAGAGACCGGTCCACCGTGGACAGACCCAGACCCTCCGGCAGAGACCGGTACACCGTGGACAGACCCAGATCCTCCGGCAGAGACCGGTCCACCGTGGACAGACCCAGATCCTCCGGCAGAGACCGGTCCACCGTGGACAGACCCAGATCACAAATTGAGCATAAAGAAGAAACAACAGCTCTCTTATATATATATTGTTATATGTGTTTGTATTTCCTGGTTCATTCAGTGTGTGTGTGTGTGTGTGTGTGTCTCCTCAGAGCGAGTGCATCCTGAGCATCTCAGAGTTCCTCCGTCAGAACCCTCGAGCCTCTCAGGCCGTCATCAACGCCGAGGTGGAGAAGAGAGTTCTGGTGTTCGCCGCTCGAGTCAAAGCTCTGGAGACGTCTCCGATATTCTGAATGAAGTTAGTCAGAGGACAGTGTGGGCTGATTAACACACTTCATTTCATATGGAACAGTATATTTGTGCCATTATATCGTTCATGTTCTTAACTGATTAAATGATTGTTTCAGGAAAAAGTTTATTTGTTATCGTGATGTTTAAACTCTGTGTTTTTGTGTCGTTGCCTTAAAGCTGTGTGTTGATCTGAACCCCTTCAAAATAAAAGCCTCTGTAAACACTGGACTGATTATTATTGACTGTGTGAAGAGGAGCTGATATTCTGAGCTGCTAATTTGAAGGAATTTCCATATTTAAAAAGTTTCTAGTATTTTGTTCACATACGGGGGGGGGGGGGAACAACATATTATAAACACTTGAACACAGTATAGTTCAATTCACATAGTTTGTTTCCAAAGTACAGTACATACAAACATATACTACATACATTCATATTCTACCTTTAAAAACACACAATATATATTTTATGATTCCAGAACTGAATAATTTACAAACTCAACTTTTACAACTTTTAAGAAAAACAAACCATCAGTGATTCAAATCCAATTTTTAAAACTTAATTAATACATTTTACAGACTTATATTGGCAGTTTTGCGTGTTCATACTCATAATGTAATAATAATATCTTCATATAATTTTAAGTATATAGTAATTTCCCAAGTAGTTCTCAGTTTGTCCACGCGGTGTCGCTGGTGCGCTCCTCACTACTCTGCCTCGCTGCTGAAATGCCCGGATGTTATTGTAAGCTAGCTCTTTTAGCATAATCGGCTAGCCGCTGCGACGCCGCTGCCTCTCACAGCTCCGGTCCGTCGCATCGGGGACATTCGACCCTTTCGACTGATCGGCCGATAGAATCTAGTTTTGTTTAAGCGTTGGTAATTTATCATGATATAAGTTTACTGAACGGCTCGTTGAAATCAACGATTTAGGTCTTATCGTTGATATTCCGACCGATTTTAGCGGGACTAGATCGGGTGAACAATACGACGAGCTAACGGCTAAAGGCTAACACAGCTAGCTTTGAGAGAGAGCTTGTTTTTTGAGCTAACACAGCTAGCATCTACAGCTAGCTGTCATGGAGGACAAATCCTTCACTAAAGAGTTAGACCAATGGATCGAACAGTTAAATGAGTGTAAGCAGCTCTCGGAAAACCAGGTCCGGACACTCTGCGAGAAGGTAAATCACCGGGTTTTATTATTTTATATTTTATTACGGTTCAGTAATAAAGTAGGCCTCGTTTTTCAGTGTGTGGCCTTAGATTGGATCGCGGCTCCGACTAATTCCTGGACTGGACCGTCACGGCAAGGCGGCTTTTTTTTTTTGCCCCCGTTTTTTCAAACCCAGTATTCTCGAGTTTATTAATGTTTTTCTTCTCTATAGCAGCTTAATTGTTTTCCACACATATTACTGTCGCTATGTGCACTTCTATTTTCATTAACTTTGTGCTAAATTTGACGGTTTTACGGCAGAAACTGTCGTCTAAATTTAGCCAGGCCCGAAAATTGACATTTTTCTCCATCAATGCCAGCAAATAGACGGAGCCTATTTTACTGCCGGGTTTATGAACATGACTTCACTTTTACGTACAAGGTCAACACTCGACTAATGGTTAAATGTAGGAGTTTTTTAACATTGTATGTTAGTATTGTGATGTAATAACTATATAACACGTGTGTTAATACGTGTATAAAGTTATGGTTTTTAGCACCGCGCCCTGTCGTTATCGATCAACCGTTTCATTGCATAAACCTGGGCACGCCTCTTTTCATACGTCACTTCTGGGTTGTGGCGTCATAAAAGCTTTTTTTATGGGTTTTAATGTCGTCAAAACATATCAGAACAT